GAGAGATTCATACTACATGAGCTACAGTGGTGGAGTCCAACCAAGTACATTGACTCAACTGCTGTAGCTGACTACACATTCAAGGTACTTTATTTATATTTCCATTTAATGTAACTTTATACTTTCCCCCTCTACATCTCACAGGTAACTATTGTACTTTTACTGCATCTGTCTGACAGCTTTAGTTACTGCTCAGAGGACAGTTCTCCATCCCTTTCCTGTCCAGTGAAAACCATGTATCTCCAGATGTGTTGATGTTGAGTGTTTGTGATGAACTGAAGGATGTTGAGAAAACTCTGCTCCTTCTGAAGCTCAATAAACTCTTTATAAACTGTTCAGGCATAAATTAAAATGCTGTTGGTTTCAGAGTTATGTAATTTAAGGAGCACTAAAAAGCAGAGTAGAGTCTTTTAATTTAAAAGGTGTGGCGATTTTAGCTTCTGGTGACGCATTATGGATTTAATCAATGTCACCTGTGCAGGTGCATCATTATCACCAAAGATAGAAAGACCAGGTGCAACTTGAATTTTGATTTAATTATTGACAAAACACAGAAAAAATTGAACCAATGGTTGCAGCGAGATTTATCACTAAGAGAAAGAATTCTACTGACTAAAGCTGAGGGAATATCCCGCCCTACATATGCTGCTCTATCCCTTGATGTAAACAAAAAGATTTCAAACAATATTGACAAAATGCTTTTTAACTTTATTTGGAGGAACAAAAAACACTATGTCAAAAAATCAGTAAACTCATATGATAAGGGTGGCCTTAACTTTTTAGACTTTTATTCTTTAAATAATACATTCAACATAAATTGGCTAAAACTTTTCATTAAGAACCCATTTTCAATTTGGAACTTTATACCAAATTTTATTTTTTTCTAAATTAGGAGGCCTAAATTTCCTTTTATTTTGTAATTATAATATTGAAAAACTCCCCACAAAACTATCCAATTTTCATAAACAGATGCTTCTCTCATGGTCATTGATTTATAAACACAATTACTCCCAGCATAGATACTACTTATGGAACAATAAAGACATTATATACAGAAACAAATCCATATTTTACCCTCACTGGTTTTCTAATAACATTCTTTTGGTTGGTCAGTTGTTTAATTCAAATGGCTCACTTTTGACATATCAAGAATTTATTTTGAAATACAGTATTATTATTCCCGTTAGGGAATTTAATATTGTTATAAATGCAATCCCTGCTGGAGTTGTTATACCTATTTAAAAGTATGGCAGGACCCGAATTTAAATTTATTATCTATTGATCCAACCAAACATGAAATCGATGAGATTTGTTTCTCCTTAAGACGCAATAATAATCGTCATTTACGCGCATTGTTTCAGAAAGTTGTTGTATCAATTCCATATGTGGTTTCTTATTGGAACAACTTTGTTAATAATCTTGACTGGAAAAAGATTTGGACTTTACCTGCAAAATACTTAATTAATAATAAAATGAAAGAAGTATCATTTAAAGTAATTCACAGATTCTACCTATGTAAAGTTTTTCTTCAACGTTTCAAAAAAGATATCAATACTAACTGTTGTTTTTGTGAAGGATCCCCTGAAGATGTTTTTCATTTATTTTGGAATTGCCCATTCTCTACCAAATTATGGAAGGATATTTGTAACTTGATTTTTATTTGTGTAGAACCACATTTCTCCTTTTGCTTTGAACATACAGTACAGGCCAAAAGTTTGGACACACCTTCTCATTCAATGCGTTTTCTTTATTTTCATGACTGTTTACATTGTAGATTCTCACTGAAGGCATCAAAACTATGAATGAACACATGTGGAGTTATGTACTTAACAAAAAAAGGTGAAATAACTGAAAACATGTTTTATATTCTAGTTTCTTCAAAATAGCCACCCTTTGCTCTGATTACTGCTTTGCACACTCTTGGCATTCTCTCCATGAGCTTCAAGAGGTAGTCACCTGAAATGGTTT